ATTCTATACCATCATACTATCATACTTCTAATATTATAAATGCGAATGTCTGGATGGATGCATAGATGAATGGATGTTGGTTTGATAATATCTTCAGAACGGCAGAACGGATCCCGCTGAAATTTAACATAGACGTAGAACATGGTCGGGAAAATCCATAGGCTACAACTTAAGTTTTTTTTTATTCCGCGCAGACGGAGAAGCGGACGACAGCTAGTTAAATAATAAACAAAATGCATATAAAGGCGAAAAAAAAACAAATGAGCTCAGGTTTGCGTATGCTTCGGTAATACACCGAAAAGTTTAAGAATAATCTGACGAGTTTTTTCAAGATGAGATAAAACTTCTCGGAAATGCGTAGCTAAGTTAAATAAACAAATAAAATCTATAATCGTTAGTTTGCAGTGTCTACATCTAAACAAAAACATACCGTACTCTCTCTAAAATTCTCAAAAACTATAGAAGACAATAGGTTTTCACAGATGTATCGGCAGTGTAAACTCACAAACAGCTGACATGAAACATTTCTAAACGTATTACAAATTACTGTCCCCTGTCTGTACAATGTCTACTTTGAAATGCGTTCCAGGAATACATTAATGTGTGATCAATTAATTTAATTGAACATCTCAATTTACACATTGCTGTTTGACACAATTGTTATATACTCTGTGCAATTGATGACAAGTTCAATGACCTTATCTCAACTAATTTAATGTGTCAAAATATAATTTACTTTAGTTCAATGTTAACTTAATTAAGTAAATGTTTAAGGGTTTATTTGATGTTAAGAACCATTTTAAATATTAAATTTTCTCATAGACTTTCATTCACAAAATCAAAAACTTATTCATATAATTATGAACTTGACTTAGAGCCAAACATACCCGTTAAATAATTACTGTAAACATTTGTTAATATTTTACATTCAAATCGTTATAAGTTACATAACACTAAAAACCAACTACCAAATCGCTTCATGCAAAGTAAATCGCTTAATTATTCCTAGCTCCATTAATTATACAAATTTGCATTTATCAATGGCAAAATTGCAAATTATCGCAAATCGAATTTATTCAACCGATCACTTATAGCTGAATTGCATGGATTAAACTTGTAACAGCTAAACTGAACTTTGATAGCTGTTAAATTTAAATTGGATTATGATATATAATTACATCCTTCAATAAACACTATAACTAACTCGTCGTCAGCTCACTATACCTCCCCACTGAGGTAGAAAAACTCGTTTTCCTATTCTCTGTTAACCTAAAAAGTAAATCTATTCTCTACTTTCTAACATGTCAGTAATTTCCAAAGGTCCAGTGAAGTATTCTCTTGTGGGGGTTGTAAGTAAAAGCAAGGTCTCTGAAGATACCCAACAGCACAAAATTAAGACCATCATACGTCATCCTCAATAAAAACCACCGCAGATGTACCATGACATTGCTCTACTGGAAACTGAGTATTTGTACATTTAATTTGTAATTCGATATAAATATTTAAGATCACATAAATTGGCTAAATGTTTTAAAGGTTTACATTCGTAATATTTAGCATAATGTTAGGCGATAAAGTAGTTCCAGCCTGCCTTCATGTGGACAAGATTGCGCGCGACAATCTTGCGACAGTGATTGGCTGGAGAGCAGTGAAAAATGGTACTAGCGTTGACAATTTGAAAAAGGTAAGTTTGTGAAGAACTTTTTTGTGGCAAGAATAAGGTAATTTCTTTAAAATAGTTGTACACTCACAGTAATTTGATTGTTACTTTGAGTGGGTTTAGTAATCTTTGTGCTATGTATCCGATACACCTAGTTCCTCAGTTCTTAATGTTACTAAATTGTTTCCAACAAACAATACATCTCAGATGATTTGAGCAAATTCGAGGAATCAGAATGTACTGTGATATTCCCGCCTTCGAACAAAATGGAGAACGGTTTAAATGGCATAATTCAGATCTGTTATGGGTTCAAAAATAGAAATAGCATATGTCAGGTGACTAATGTGAATAAGATCTAAAGATATAAACCATATCTAATATGAATTTCATACGAAGTTTCTTTATCTATTCTATATTCCAGGGTGAAACTAGTGGACCTCTGCAGTTGCAAAACAAAAGAATTTCCTGCATGCATACTGTGGTGGGGGTGACCTCGTCAGGTGCTGCATGCGACCCTGGTGACAAACCTGGCATTTACAATAAAGTGTCGTCTTACGTATCCTGGATAGACAGCATAGTGTGGTCATAAATTAAAAATTAGTCGAAAAAAATATTTTGGTTACTGTGATGTTGTTTCTTTTTAAATCAAGTGGTCTATTTGATGGTTAATGACCCGAGTTAATGTCTTTTGAAATCACGTAATTTGCATGTGGCAATTTAACACTTTATGAAGAAGATCGGTGAGTAAATTAGAAATGTGTCGGTGAGAGAATTAGATTAGAAAGAACATTTTATATAAGTATGTAGAACATTGAAAGTTAAATGCATCGCAAAGCAAGAACCACACCACGCATGGCCACGGAAGGAAATGTCTATGCTGTGACTTTTTAAATGTAATCTATAATAAAATAAAATTACGTCAGCACGTGGACAGTAGCGAATGCAGCGCTGAATAAAATATGAATCCCTGAGAAGTGCTTTCGGTATATTGAATTACGTCCGCACTCAGCGCTTTGATGCTTCCTACGGAGATGGTTCTGTGAGGGGAATTTTAACGTTCCGTTTCAAAGACTTGAAATTCATCGGCTGACATCGAATGATAGTTTACCTAGCGGTTTACCAAATCAAACTTCCTGGTAACTAAACACTATCGATTTAAGTGATCGCTGAATTGTCAGTGTGATTGAAATAGCTTTCTGTAAATAACTCTCTAGCTGCTAATTGTGCACATAGATTAACTTGGGTAGGTATTATATACATAGGATAATTTAAAAAGGCGACATTCGAACAACTAAGCAAGGTTTTTTTTTATATCATAAGGTGGCAAAGGAGCTAGCGGTCACCTGAAATCGCTTAAATAGCGAAGCGACTGTTGCCCATAGACATACGCAATTGCATATGCGTTGCCTACCTTTGATCGACGGAGGAGAGGATGCACAGAAAGAGAATATTTTCCCTTTCCATGCATCCTCTCATCCGGAAAGTCCACTTGTGGTATCTCACCGGACGAGCCGGGCCGATACGTGCGAAGATGTTAAAGCGGGCTCTACCACTCTTAAAAATACTGGTAAATAAGGAATTTGAGTATAGGGAAAAAAGGGTTGTATGGACGGTCTCCTCAAAAACCAACCTAGTTCATGCAAGTCCCTACATCACTAGTAAATTTGTAAATATTATAAGTAAATTTTATTATAAGCTTGAAGTCTAAGAGAATATTCTAGGAATCGTTAAATGACTGCATAAAAGGAGCTCGATGTAACTCGATTGGTTTAATGGAAAAGCTTTTAGAAATAAATTGCTTTGCATTGATTCTGTTCTCGATTTGTAATCGACTTGAAATTGGACTCGAGTCCGATCCTGTAGGTTTGTAACAAACAAACCGTTGCCGTACACAATTTCACTTCAAAACTTGTTTATTTTATCAAACCGATACAAAGTTTACTTAAAAATAATTGTTTAGGATTGACATTATAATCTTTATATTAAATACCAGACTTCGTCATCGCCGAATTAAAATAAAATCTATTAAAAAATATAACCTTTGTTCAGTGATAATGTAACTTTCTAATGGCAAAAGAATTTAACGAATCGTTCCAGTAATTTCTGATTTTATATGTTACATACAAAAATACAAATCTATAAAATACTCACGAAAAGGATGCTTGAAGCGAATAATTTGTACCCCATTTTTATGAAAATGCGTAAATAGATGAACGTGAAAGACACAATTAACTTTAATCTGGAGGAGACATGCATTAAGCTATTTTTATTAAAAAAAAATTAAATCAAGGACTTACCGAACTTTGAATAAATTACATAATTTAACAGTGGTAGAGCCCGCTTTTACATCTTCGCACGAATTGGCCCGGCTCGCCCGGTGAAATACCACGACCACACAGAAGACAGGCGTGAAGTAGAAGCAATTCCGCGTTTCGTCTGATGAGTGTGCGTCCCGGAGGCCTAATTTAGTCCTCTTTCTCTTCCCACCGTTTTTCTTCTAAGGAAACGATGGGATGGAAGTGGACTTTCCGGATGAGAGGATGCATGGAAAGGGAAGATATTTTCTTTCTGTGCATCCTCTCCTCGTCGATTAAAGGTAGGCAACGCATATGCAATTGCGTATGTCTATGTGCAACGGTCGCTTCGCTATTTAAGCGATTTCAGGTGACCGCTAGCTCCTTTGCCACCTACCGATATAAAAAAATGACGAGATCAAGTTTAATTTATTGCAAGAAGTTGTAAATAAGAATAATGTTGCATATTTTGTACTGAGTATAATTTCAAATGATGATTTCATTTTACTTAATAGAGAAAAATTGGCAGCAGAACGCTGTTTATTGAATTAAAGTCATAATTTTATATTAAGGTTAAATGAAATTAATTTACTCGTTATTCATTCAAAGTAACTCATGATACTATCAAGATTAATCTAAAGCTTTCATTATTACAAAGAGAAGACTTATTGTTATGTTTTTATTATTTTCAACAAGGAAATTATAATTCCAAAAAGAAAAATGAAAAAAGTAATAATTGTCACCAGAGTTACGTAATTTTATTTAACGCTCTTTTGACTTTTCGGGACTAACAATAAACCGGATTTTTTTTCAAACGCTTTCCTGTATTATTTTCCTGTATTGTAAAATTATATATTACTTATTTCTAATACGAATACAATTTAAAAATCATGATGAAAAGTAATATAAAATACGAATATCTTATAAGCTTTTTAAAATTTTACATAAAAAAACATATCATATTTTATTTATTAATTACTTAATTAATAGCAAAATAACGTATAAATTGTAAGCCCATAATCAAATGTGGATCAATATTTTGTAGTTTTGATATAAACACCATGGAGGTCTTATATGCATAGCCAACTCTGCGGCGACCGGAGATAGCGCTGGCTGGCACGACGCGGTCGCTTCGGAAAACCAAACTCAGTGCTGTCTCAACGCTCATTCAGAAATGTCTGCGAAGCAAAACGATAAATCAAAATGGCGAAGAAGGAAATGCACGAAGTCACCAGTTGTAGACAACGACTGCGTAAGCCTGGCGTGGCTTCTAAATTTTAGATTAGATGAAATAGTTAAGGTGAAAGTTCCGGATGATGACGATGTGGTAGAGTCGAAGACTGAAGTACCCGATACTCCGCCCGCAGTGAGAAAGCCGCCATACACGTACCCAGAGCTGATCGAAAAAGCTTTGAGAGAAAAAGGAGAATTGACAGTATCGGCTATTTATCAATGGATTTCGTAAGTATTTTTTTGCATTTCAAACATAATAGAGTTTTCATGACGTGTGTATTGTAAAAAAAATATAATATTATTATTATTCTATATCAGTTTCTTCTTCACATTAAGCATGTACACAAATTTAGCAAAATATAGGATCATGACGTAATGTCAAAATAAACCAAAGAAATCAACAGTAAGCACTGAAACTCAATTACATAATATTTGACGTGGAAACTTTAAAGTTTATTGAAGCTACTAGCAGTCGCTCGCGGCTCCGTTCGTCCGGAATTAAAAAAAAACTTAGCTAATGTGTTCTCCCAAACTATGTTCTACATCTCTGCCAAAATGTTATCAAGATCCGTAGTGCCATTCCGGAGATACCTTCAAACAATCATCCATCCATCTAATTATTTGCATTTATAATATTAGTAAGATATGAATGGGTTTACTTAAAAATTGCCAAGATTTTATTTATAAATATATTCTGTATAAGTATATTAAATTGATTTTGTTGTCATTGCGCAGTGTCATGTTGCATCATTGTGTTGCAGTCGTATCACACCATAAGTGCTATTCCTAATACAATTTGAGTAGTCTAAAATCTAGATGGTTTACAAATCAATACGGCTATGAATACTTAAACCACATTTGTTTAGTTTCATTTTGTCTATAAAATAGTTAATATTTGCTAATTCATGTTACGTAATACAGAAATATATTGGAATTTAATTTTTTCGCTAAACTTTTTATTTTAACTATCGGATAAGAATTGAAGCTAAGACAAGCTGGTAACTCAAACTACAAAGCTCAGGAGGCAATCACGGCAATGATTTATATTGATTGTCGTGCTAAACTTGCACACATTAGTAAAGTATAAGAAATATAATGTATAATTTAAACAATATAAAAATAATAATTCTGGATAAATTAAAACCAAACATTTGGAAAGCATCAAATAATTATTTTACTATGCTGGAAGCAGCCCTTTGCATTGCCTTAACACAAAGAATGAGTAAAATCAGAACAAGCATCAAATTAACTCGACAACAAAGGGGAATCGAAATCATATTAACGCGGTATCATTTGTAGGTCGGCAGAGTTCTTTGTTCATTGTGTTAACTATTGTTTACCGTGCGCGGCATCGTCGAGGCTAAATTAGGGGGTGCCTGTTGTGTTGAGGGTCGTTTATCTTTTCGCAAGCGCATTATTGCTGATACAGCGGTTATTGTTACTAGAACTAGTGTTTCTCATCTATAGATGTAATGAAACAGTTAAGCCGTGAGTATACGTTCTTACGCAGTTTTAGGAGCTTTGTTTGACGCAACTCAGTCTAGCACGTATTTTGCGTTTCGTAACTTTTTGAATAACTAGCTGTCGTCCGCGACTCCGTCCGCACGGCATTAAAAAAACGCAATTGTTTAAGTAGCCTATGTGTTCTTCCAGACTATGTTCTATATCTGTACCAAATTTCAGCGAGATCCATGCAGCCGTTCTGGAGATGCCTTCAAACAAACATCCATCCATCTAAACATTTGCATTTATAATATTAGTAAGACTAATAGGCTGGGTTCTTTAAATGATGAGTTCAAGAAGTTCATAGAAAACAAATAATATTTACTACGCACTTTAAACATTTATAGCCAACTTCATCAGTGAGTTATAAATTATGTTGAAATTTAGAACACCTATTTTTATTTTTAATTTGTTGTTAAAATACAAAGATTATTATGGTTAGTCGAATTTATGTCGACAAAAAAAAAACAAGTAGCGGAAGCATAATGTATACAAAATCCTATAATATCTGTATATGTAATGATTAAAAGTGTAATCAGTTTATTACGGTGATAAATGGTATCAAACTCTGGTCGGGCTTGAACATTACGCGTTGATGTTATCTGTATGTCAACACTGCGCCAGGGGGAGGGTCGTTATTAAATTATTATCACCGTGTTGACGACCACTTACCGTGCAGATTCATGTAACCCTTTATCAGCTTGCAAAGTTATTAATTTAAGAATTATTGTTTCTCTTTTAGATATGCTCTAATTAACTCGATCTGTCTCCTCTAGCGAAAAAAAGAGCTAACCTGCCCATATCAGATTTTTGAAGATAAAATATTTTAAAGCCAATAAGGTTTTAAAGTTCAAGATATTCTCTGAAATTAATAAATCGATAAATCAATGGGTCAAATCAGTGGATTCTACAGTTAACTGAACTCTGACTCCCACGACAAATGGTAGGTCGCGACCGGGTGGATTGGGGGCGTGTTTTGAAACACGTGTATCATAACAAAGGGAATATTAATGCTCTCGTCACGCTCGTGTCACGTCAGCGCGTGCCGTGTTGTCATCACGTCAGGCGCGGGGCTGCCGGATCCTGGCACCGGTCGTTTGAGCGGGGGCGGCCGGCACCAACGACCCCTAATGCGATTGCCAAAACATCCGGTGTTTAATATTTTGTGCCAGTTTGTGTTGCAACTGTTTAAAAACCTCATTTTTAATAATAATAACGCAGTGTACTAGTATAAGTAATTTGCTGTAACAATAGTTCTCTATAACTCGAGATTTGGAAGTATGTAATTGCAGGTTAAAGACGTTTTTACCATACAAATAAATGCAATTAAAATTAAACTTTTAAATTTTCTCTTGCAGTGATCGCTTCCCCTATTATAAAGCGAACGATGATCGCTGGAAAAACTCTGTCCGGCACAACTTATCCATCAACCCGTACTTCCGCAAAGGAGCGCGTGCTCCACAAGGCGCCGGCCACCTGTGGTCGCTCGCCGCCAACGCCATTGACCTGCTACCACTCAGGCCTGATGCCGATAAGAAGACTGAAGTCGTTCACGAAGTGCATATCATTGAATGTCCTAAGGTAATATTATTATATCAGATCAGTTCTCCTAAACAGGGCACACTAAGGCGTCGCCTCTAACATCGCGGCACCTATAGTTTTTTTTTTACCCGAATTTACAAGTTTTTTTACTAAGACACATTTTTTAAATTATAAATCAGTTATATGTAGATAATAACAAAGAAACAACTGATAATTTACATATATTTTCCACAGTTTGACTTTCTATGTATTAAATTCTAGTTATGTAATTTCCTCAATAAAAATAAACATATTTTTTACAGGTTATAGTTTTAGACGAGGCTGCGATCGCCGCGGCCAGTATTATTCCCGAACACGATTTATTTACCGGTAGTACAAGTGAGTCCTAATATTTTGTAATAAATTAAGCAAAACCATACTATTAGTTAATTTCTGAAAATATTGTATGTGTTAGACGGGTTTTAAATTATTAAAATACTGAAATAACGGTCCCCTAATCAGAATACTAATAGTGCAATGACAATCTTAGTTGAGATAGCCCCAAAGGGCTCTTGAAGTAAGTTCGTCAAAGCGTAACAGACTGATCACGATAATAGCTCAGGCCAGTTTCGGAGTTCCCGAGAGAACCTTTGACTTAGTCACTCGTTAGAGTCAACTACAGCAGTTATGGTTACTAAGTAGACTTCTTAAAGTATATATTTCGCATACTAAATTTGTACGAAGGAACTACTTTTGTTTGCTCAAACCTTCTAATTAAGGTTGCCTTCTGAAAACCAACAACACTTGCCTAATTTTTTAAATGTTTTATGCTGTAATACTTTACATTTATTATTTCTTTCAAAATTAAAATATTTTAAGGAAAAGTTAAATTAAATTGTGCAATTTATATTTTCAAAAATAAATATTAAATTTTCGCGAAACACGATAAACCGTCATGGCACAATCAGTGACGACACGCCGTCTTATAGAGTAGAATAATTTCTCGTGTATGTTGTTGTGGTACTGAATTCTGAATTGTGGTACTTAATTCAGAAGTACGAAAATATAAACAATAACAATGGTGCTGTCCGACCTTACGCTTTCAAGGGCCTAGTACGATTTGCGACATGCGTCATCGTAACGCCAACGTAGGTGTATACTGTGCGCGATAGGGGGCGCTGCACTAATTTTTGTACAACTTTTGAAGATGACGTTACGAAAACTTTCTGACAAATATTCGTGATAGGCCATCTGATTAGCATTCGTGTCATGTTAATAAATGTTAAAATTTGCTAATTTTAATTTCTAAAAATTATAAATTTTAACCTATTTTAATAATTATTTATGTTTTTTCGGTCATCGTTTTAATACAGTTAATCCTTAGAAATTAATTTCGTCTGAATTGTTTACCTTTTTCAATCCAATTGAATGCTAATTTTAAATAAGTTTTCTTTTATTTTCCAGTGTTCCTGAACCCCGTGTCAACGGAGCAAGTCGTACGAGAGTGTGGACTCATCACTGTAGATTAATGTGTATAGTATTCGTAAAGGCTTTCGAAAACTTTGAATAGTCGCATTACGTTGACGCAAAATATTATCAGATTTCAACAGATTTCTGTAGTTGCAATAAACTTGTTTAAAATTGAATATCTTCAAGTATTATCTAATTTTATGGGTCGAGTTTATTAAGTAAATAAAATATTGCGATTCCTTATTAATTGGGGTTGTCATAATTTTAGACAAAGGATTATATTATATACCTGCTTTATAGTTTTCTCTTAACGTTAATGCCATTATTCAAATACTAGTAATTTGTAATAAAGTTTTAAAATTAAAATAATTTTCATTTAACAATCGTATAAGTGTTCCAAACTATGTTGTTCCATCCACGCTAACATACCTTACTTTCTTTGGATAAATACAGTAATTAAAATCTGAATATAAAAGGCAAAACGACCAATCATTTATGAGGATTTTTTAACATTTGTCATGTGAGAACACCATGAAGGTTTTAATTCGCAAGCAAAGTGGCCAGTGTTATTTCGTAAGTTGTTCTTCCCTACTTTATTCTTTTTTTTTTCAAGATTTAAAGCGAATAATCCACGTTTTAAAATAGTATCACGCTTCGGCAAGGCAGCTCAGGTGGATAATTACAGGAACATAATTAGAGGTCGATACGTAATGTTGGATCGTGATGGGAATTTTCTAATTATTTTATACACAAGGAACTTAGAATTAAAATCGTAAGCAGTTCACAAGAAGTTAAGAATCATAGATTGCAAGATAGATAAGAAGGGTTTTGGAACTTTTTGAATTGTGGAAATTAAAGAACGATTGATATAGTACAGTAAGTACAAAAACAATAATAAGCCAATAAGTCTTTTAGTAAAAGAAAACTGGAAAAAAAGTCGGATATTCTTAAAGTATCGTAGTATCATTTTAGTAGCGAAAAGTCAAGGGTCGTAAATGTTCGTTAGACAAGTTGAAAATTGAACAAAAAAATATTGTGTTGCCACTTATTGCGTGAAGTTTTTCGAAAACAAGCCGAACTGAGAGCCAGCCAGTATTGCGGTAATAAAAACTTTTTTCATTATCCCGGTATAAGAGCTTATTGAAAATAACAATGTCGCCGGAAGATTGCGTTTTATTGTTAGCTAGCGATTTCCTACAACTTTACGCGGATTGTCTTCGGCGACTTAATGAGAAAACTGCTCTTAGAACGTCTCGAATTGCGCATTATCGACTATTGGTAGATGTGCAATTGACAACTTGTGGGTTACGATTAACTTCTTCACAATTAGCTATTGAATCTAGCTCTAACAAAGAACTTTAGTCACAGCGTTTTGCGTCTTAACCTACAAAATATTTTAGGGAGATAAACACTTTCCAATCTGTTGTGTAATAAACTACAGTCTTTGATCCACAAATATAACAATAGAATAAACTATATTGAAATTATTTGGCTAAGTCTTATCTAATAAAGTTTATTTCTTAGTGTGGACGTATAGTATTGTTACAAAGGACGATGCAAGAGCATTGTAAATCAAGATAGCTTAGTCTACGACAACGGTGAACGCGGCTACAAAATCACAGAGAGCTACGAAAAGAGGAAAGTAGACATAGAATATATAATAAATCCATTAAACTAAAAATTAGCTTAAGTTTTTGTTACATTTCAAGCTGACAATTTTTATTTCAACAAGCTCGAAAATCTTTAAATGTACTAAAAGCAGTGCAATTTATTGATTCAATTTCTTTTAACATATTCTGCCTTTAGTTGCCTTTTCTACTAAAATCACATAATTAATTTACATTTTGGATGTTATAAAAGACTCCTAAAAAGCAAATGATAAACACAATTGCCTACCTCTATGTTTAGTGCTCAATGTAATCCCGCACGGTAGGTCAAGAGACGTGCAATTAATTATCCAGTGTTGAGTGCACGCTGCTTCGTCTCAATACTGATAATGGCTTCTATGTGCTGACACTATCTTATTAAATTGATTTGTTTTATTTTTATAGACCAAGGATATATAGATACAGAGACTACTGATGTTTTAATATTACAAAATAAGTATTTTCTTGAATAAAAGAATATTATATTTATTTAGCGAAAGTGGATGATATTGTTGGCCGTGGTAAAAAAGCGATATAAAAAAACACCCGAAATCAACAAGAATGTTTGCTTAGATGCATTAAAAAGCGAGGTGTGCAAGGATCGCACCAAATGGAATCTTCACGTAGTCCTCTGAATCACGGGCGTGAGTTCTGTCTTACGTTCTAAATTCATGGTTACTATTTTATGGATTCATAACAGCTTTCATGTAAATCCGAAATGTCTCACTGGCCTATTTCTCTATTCCGGTTTAAACACATACTTATAAAGACATATTTATAAAGAGAATTTAGAATATGATCAAAAATATATAGTCATACATAGTCATAGATCTTTGTAAACATCTAAGTGCTCTTTGGTTGTACTTTTGCCCGAGTGTAGGCCAATTATCGGGCGTGGTTTAGGTACGGCAATATCGGAGCTCGCGGCAACATATCGGGTAGCCTGCAAGTGATTTATGCAGTGTGCACACTGGAGGGGCCGATAAGAGGATACTTTGCAGAGCAGGAAATTCATGCTCTTGTGAACGGCAGGAAATGTTTGTATACGGATAACCAGCTTAAATGGTTGCATTGTGCAGCCTTTGGTGTTTATTTATTGGTTCTTCGATTATATGACAGAAAAATAACTCATTAATGAAAACTTGTTCAATTTCCTTAGAATTTTACATTTTATGTTTATCTTATGTAACTTAGATATACCAAAATATACAAAAAAAATAAGTTGCGTATTTATTCCTTAGTTATTATTGATGATATGAAAGAACGTCACATGGCAGTAATGTAAAATTTTGTAAGACTTGTTTTATTCACTGTAAGCTATAGGATACCTATAGGTTATAAAAATTCTGGTGTAAGAAACATTTATATTTTACGTATGTTATTATTGCTGCGACTAAAGAATTCGAAAGCAGGCAAGGTAAGACAAGGTTGGGGTATCGCAAAGTCTCCCGTAGTTAATATTCCGGCCGCTTTAGTGGCATTTTTAGCGTTTACTTGCTCCAGCACGCACGTGGGCCGATTGGGTGGCTTTATTTTGTTTTAAGATGTCTGCGGGGCCTCACGTAGTGGAGTAATGGACCGTTTTCTTTTACCCAACTTCTTAAAACGAGCCCTGCGACGTGCAATATGCGCTCTCTAACTCGTTTATGGCATTGTTATCAACTATTACTATGAAAGTCTTTGTCTGACTTCATTTTGTTTATTTTTTGGGAAACAATTGAGACAAATACAATTCCAATCAATAATATGGCTTGGGTGGGAAGATGTCTAATGGAAGTGAGGAGAGTAGTGTCAGAACTGCGCCAATTGGAAGATCCTAACGCCTGTCTACCCCTTTGGGTTACATATATTGTGCTAATTTTAAACATGTACTTAATAAGATGTGTGTAAAATCTACGCTATTAATCAATACTTACAAACAGATTGCCAGCATTCAGTGAAACTTTAAACGACGGACAATTGTTAGTTAAGAGTGGAAATAAAGCCGGTGACACATGGACGTAGTTAATCTCTAGCTCCAGCTGGTCGCGATATAATTGCAGGAACCTCTCCCATTGTACATCTCAGCAATGTAGAGGATATTATGCTTCCGTAGACACGCCGCTAGAATAATGGCGTCGGTTGATTTAATGAAACGCATTGTTCTGTCATGTTGCTTAGTTGCACCTAATTCGTTTAATTTGATGCTTTAGATAAAAGCTTTAGGTTTCTAATAAAGTTACTAAACTGTTTAAATTGATTACCAATTAAACGAGTGCGGAGCTTCTGTTACAAAGCGAATACCTAAAGTACCTAGCTCTTTCGAAAGGTGGGTACAAATCCAACACTTCATTGAAATTAGATAAAATAGGTACGCCAGTTATTTTACGACTAAAGATTTTGTTCCTATACAATTCTACATAAATATATTATACTAAACATCTTTGGCTGTTTTATTTCCATCTAAGTGTTATATCGGAAGCTTACAATAGGTACTTAATTTCTTTAATTCAATGTCAAGTAAATCAAAAGCATATTATCTGAAGCCCATGGTAAGTTTCGGTGATATTGAAATCAGGTATTATGTTTCATATCTTTATGCTTTTTTATCATTCCGCTTGACCCGCCTATGAATTATACATTTACTAACACCGACTGAACGTGATTCGAATGTATATTGAAATTCAGAAAACGTTTTCTTGACAAAAGAACCTTCCTCACAATGTCAACCGCTGTAAATCATTTTGTATTGACATTAGGAGTTTTAGCAAAAATCTTTTATTTATTTAACAACAGAGAATTTATACTTTAATGTACATTTATATCAGTGATTATTAGGAAAAAACTACTAGAATAAAGAACAGATTTGCTTTGCATCAAGCAATTGCATGAACGATTTGAAACAACTCTTCAAACTATGAAAGTATTATATGCACGACATGCATTGAGTTTATACAGGGAGCAATCGTACTTCAAATAGAATGTAAAGTTCCATTTACTTTTCCTCTATTTCCGACGACATAAATATTTAACATCCTGTATCGAGATTTGTTTCCATATCATCCAGGGAAAGCTTTTAGCGCAGGCCACCTACGATACCGTATAGAATGAACAATGAAAAAAATAATACAAAAAAAGGTACAATTTAATTTGATAGTTAAAATTGACAAAATAAACTCAAAACTAAATTAGGTATTCTAAAACCCTGAAGCAATGCGGATCTTTACGACTCATATGACCCTCTGTCTTCGAGTTGGACGTAGATTAAGGAAGCAACTCATTTAGTTAACATGCTATTCACCGCATTTATTCTCATGTGTCTAAAATAAGACAATAATATGCGTTCATAATAAATTATGTAAGTCGTAATCATCATCATCACGTAATAATATCGTAAAGTAACATAATTGATTAATTACAACAGTGGTTTAGTCCATTTCTATATAATCAAAGTATTCACTATCTGCATTGAAGGAGCTTCAGGAGGAGGAGCAATCAGTTGCCAATTAATTACATTCCGCGAAGCTTCCAGTATCCCATTCCTGACTGCTAACAGATTTTTGTGCAGGAAAAGTATATTTTAATAAAATCAACTTTAATAATTTTCTTTCTAAGAAACTTTTCTCGTATAAATTAACACAAATTAAAATGGATTTTGCATAATTGAAAATTCCTCTTTTGTAGTTTCATACGTATTTTTAAAGTAAAAATTAATAAA